TCAAAGAATGAGATATTAACATTTCAAAGGGGAGGCAAGGAGTCTTGAGACTGCCCGTGAGTGTTTGTGTGCCCTGCCTACAAGCCACACACCTGTCAAAGTGGCCACTAAAGTAAGCCTAATGCCTGAATTTCGGGCTATGTGCAGGTAGCAAAGCATGAATATCATGAAAGGGTGCATACCCTAAGAAGAGTTTTTAGGGAAAATTGTTCTAGTATTTTTAAAGGCTTCTGAGGTGTATGAACATTACAGAATAACTATTATAGATGGAATGATTCACTGGGGTTGGTATTGAGAACTAGAAAACTTGAATTTGATATCATCAAGTCTCAAAAAACAAACTTTTAACATATCTTATTGTAGAAAATAGCTTTTAGGTAAAACAAATTCATGTTGAATTAAATGGTACAAAGGAATGCATAGGGATGTGAAATTTAATATTTTGTTAACTCATTAGTGACATACATCTAGTAAGTTGCAGGTTGATATAATGTAAATGACTACATTATCTTTAACAAAAGAAAATTATTGAGTTTGCTTTTTTGTCACAGGTAGTCATGGAGTTACTTGATGGTGGTCCCTTAACAGATGTTGTGACAGAAACAGTGATGAAAGAGACTCAAATTGCTGCTGTATGTTACCATACATTGCAAGGTATCAATTACCTCCACAAAAATGTAAGCAGATTAGAATGATGTTCATATATGTTACCTTAGTTAAGATTCCTTCCTGCAAGTAAATGTACAATATGTATGTGAAAAAGAATCACTATTTTTTTTTTCTTTTTTTACAAATACTTATATAGAATTGAAAAATAAATTAGAGTGAGTAAAGAGTCAATAGCATGTATGTATTATATTTTGAATGTAAGTTCTTTATTTTCAAAACCAAAATTTTCAATTTATTCTAGGCATAATGAAAATGCTTGAATGCTGTAGACTACAATGTAGATAATGATATTCTACCCTTGTACTTTTTGGCAAAAATATAATTGATTAATTTTTTTGCAGGGTGTCATTCATAGGGACATCAAGTCTGACAATGTCCTCTTAGGTAAAGATGGGTCTGTCAAGGTGACAGATTTTGGATTTTGTGCTAACATTTCAGGAGATGAGAAGCGTCAGACTATGGTTGGAACACCATATTGGATGGCACCAGAGGTAATCTACATTTTTTTTTTTTTTTTTTTTTTTTTTAATATGGCAAGAACACTTTCTATCAGCTATGTATTTTCATTTCAGTTGATATCTGTATAAATAGTTTTATTCTTTTGATTCCAGGTAGTGAATAGAAAGCAGTATGGGAAAAAAGTTGACATTTGGTCGCTGGGCATTATGGCTATAGAGATGATTGATGGTGAACCACCATATCTGAATGAAACACCGTTACGTGCGCTTTACCTCATTGCTTCAACTGGAAAACCGGTTGTAGCATCCTGGGACAAACTGTCACCTGAATTTCAGGTAGATTTTTTAATATATTTTTTTTTTGTGCATATGTATGTGTAGGGGGATGGAGTTTTTTGCAAGCATATAAATCTGCATCAGTCTGTGTAGCACAGGCATATATTGTTTTCTTTATACATCTTGGTTTTCAGCACAATGCTGTTAGAGATTATTAAAGAAACTTCTAGAGGCAGTTTTTCCTGAAAAGTTCTGACACACAATTGGTTTTAGCTGACATTAGATAAGATTCTACAGTTTTATCATATTTTGTTGATTTCCCTTGTTCTGTCCTGTATCTGCTTTGTGCAGGCTTATGGTGCTGTCTTGCTTTGTATTTCATAATTAGCTTAGATGAAGACATAAAAGTAAACAAGGAGTACAAGATGTGTGGTAAAGGAGAAGAAATAGAAATATAATTGTTTTAACCCATTCGGCACTGATGGTGTAAGAATTCATGCTATGCCTACTGTAATATAAGTTCATTTATTTTATTTACACATATATGGCTCTGCAAGTGCTTAGTCACCAAGGAGTCAGTTATTAGTCCTACGTATCTCACCTGTTAACCCTGTTCCTTGATTTTAGTTAAGGTTTTTTTTTTTATTATTTTCATTGTCTTTGATATTACGAAGCTTGTAATAACAATTTAATAATCATAATATCAATAAGAATAATAACAGTATTGATATCAATAGTATCACAGAAAGAAAAACATTTTCCCACCAATTCAAGGAATGGAGAAATCAGGATTGGTCACTAGAGCATACTGCCAGACTCCTAGCTGGCTGAGCACATGCAGAGCCATTTATATGTAACAAAATTCACAAAAAAAATACGGGACATATTACATAAATCTGTGGTGCTTGGGTTAAGTAGTACAGAAAGAAAAACATTTTCCCACCAATTCAAGGAATGGAGAAATCAGGATTGGTCACTAGAGCATACTGCCAGACTCCTTGCTGGCTGAGCACATGCAGAACCATGGGTATGTAACAAAATTCACAAAAAAATACGGGACATATTACATAAATCTGTGGTGCTTGGGTTAAGTAGTTCCTTTCTTAGTAATAAGTAGAAACACTTTCAATAAAATTTATAATGAACATTTGAAAGAGTGATTATTGAAGAGCAACCAAATCCCTCAGATGGAAAACTTGATTCTGTTACCTGTTACTAATCTTTTCTTAGCCTAGCTACTATATATAATGTATATAAACTGAATTATAGAAGGCTGTGCTCCCTTTTGTTATCATCATAGACAAATGTATAGTGCATGCCCTCACATGATGTCTGAATAATATTAGCTGTATAAAAAACAAAGCACTGACAACTTTGTTTTGATTGTTGATTTTATTAAACAAATATTTCTGTGTACAGTCATGAATATTCTTGGGAAAAATAGGAAAGACATTTGGAGGTTAGTCATATAATGAGAGCAAGTATACTCATTTTTCCCAAGACATTTTTCATATAAGCAAAGAATTTGCTTATAGTCTTATTCACTTCATTCCTTCTGATCAGGATCACTGATCAACTGCTCAGGAAATTGTGTCGCACCAAAGCTAAACTTGTTCCCAAAGAAATAAAATCCAGTTATAATTCTGATTTTCTGATCACATATCCTGGTAATAATAAGATAAGATAACTTTATTGTCAAATTGTAATACAATATGCATGCAAAATTAAATTATTTGTGGGTCACAGCTCTCTACTATAAAAGTAAAAGGTAAATAAGATTAAAGCAAAAACACATAGGAATGAACATATCAGTCTATCACAAAGTATTATACATCTTCACATTTGTTATTGATATGACATAACAATAGTCCAAATTATTAAACACAGTAAGAATATTGTTTCATGCTGACAATTTCAGAGTATCATAATTTTGTTTTTAAATTGTTAAAAAATGCTTTTTGGCACAAGAAAAATTCTGTATCTATCTGTACATTGAACAAGTAATGCAAGTCTTCTTTCCAACCTTAGATACACATAGCAATGATGCAGAGGGTGGCTTACATCATTCATTATCTTCTCCACCTTCCTGATAGAGCACATCTAGTGATTTAATTTCAACACCTAATTTCTTAGTCTTCTTAATTATCCTCATGAGTTTATTCTTGTCAATACATCTTTGCTTGTTATTCCAAACATTTACTAAGCAGCATATAATGGACTCTATAGTAGATCTTTAAAATAGGGCAAGGACGTATATATGTATATTATTTTAAAATCGTAAAAAAATGGAGCCTTTGATTACATGTTTTAATCACCAATTCAGTATTTAGATTCCCTTTTATTTGATCATCTAATACATTTCCCAGGTACTTATATTGGCGTACTCTTTACAGCTTCCCCATCTATTGATATGAGATCTGGTACATTCCTTTTGGTCCTAAAATCAATTATCTCTTTAGTTTTCTTGACACTGAGTTGCAAATAGTTTCACACCATTCTACAGACAGAAGGACCTGTGTCAAATAGTCGCTACAGTCATCGTTGGTTATTTTTTCCAATGGTAACAAAATAGTCTGTGTACTATAACCCAGTACTGCCGTGCATGGTACGTACATATATGCCATATCCACTTTGAGTTTACTATATTGATTGTTTCACACATAGATGCTACACTTGTACTAAGTCACTAATAAGCCAATTAGGAGTACTGCTTGTCTCGGCCATTTACTCTTTTCCTTTATGAAAATATTTTATATTATCTTATTTTGTTGTTACTAATGTTTATAACATTTTAGTAATTATAATGTGTATAATAAAAATAACCATAGATATTCATAGCACTAGTAAAAAATACATTTTCCCGCCAAATGAAATAAGGTAAGGCAGAGCCATCTAGTGTAGAGAAATTTCACAAAAAGTATAAGAAATGAGCACAGCTTCATAGCTTCAGTAAGAAAAAACATTTTTCCTGCCAATCCAAGGAGTGGTGAAATCAGTTGAGGTGACAAGGTCTACTAATTAACTTCTTTGTGGCTTAGCACTAGCAGAGCCTCTGTGTACGGAGACATTTCACAAAAAAAAAAAGAAAAAAAAAAGATGAGCACAGCACTTTCCCAGCAGCATTGGGTTAATAGTGAACAGCAGTCATTGGGTTTATCTTAAATGTTTACTAATTTCATTCATAAAAGTTAACCCTGATCCGATGGGCATGGGATGTACGTACATGCCATACCCACTGTGAGTTACCAATAAGTCAATTACAAGTACTACCTGTTTCACCTCCTTACCCTTTTCCTTGATTTTCAATAATATTTTACAATATCTTATATTGCTGTTACTAATGTCAGTAACATTGTAGTAATTATAGTGTCTGTAATAAAAATAAGCATATCAATATTCATAACATTAGTAAAAAAAAAAAAAATTCCTGCTAATTTAAGGAATGGTAAAATCAAGTAAAGTCACAAAGTCTACTAATTGACTCATTTGAGGCAAAGCACTTGCAAAGCCATCTATGTGCAGAGACATTTCACAAAAAAAAAAAAAGAACATGCTGAACACTTCAATTCTTACAGTATGCAAACAGCAAAGGATTTCTCATTCCAATACAGGTATGCTTTTGATATGTCTTCCTGACATTTCATGACATTGAAGGTTAACATGGCAGGCCTAAAATGATTATATACACTGTGGGAAGACACTTTTGGAACTCTTCCCATTGGCAAGCACAACCCTTTGATCTATAGAGGCCTGGAAAAGTTATTATAGTAATGGCACTAACTGTGTGGCACAGCACTTGAGTGCCTTGGCAGGTACACCATCTGGCCCCATGGCCTTGCCAGCCCTTACCTGCCTCAAGGACTGTCGCACTCACTCTTCACTTTCTACAATTCTTTTGTCCATTCTATTTCAGATTACTATTATGATATCATTACATGCTTCAATAAAATCATGTCTTTTGAATTTTGTAAAGAAAGAGTTCAGCTCATTTACATATGTAGAACCATTTTCAACCAATTTGCTTTAAATAATCCTTCTACCTTTTTCTTGCAGATATTTTAAGAAGTGGCTATCTTATTTTTTATGTTTCTGCCCAGTTTTTCATTGAATCTACTTCCATTTCACATTAGACCGCGTTTTTCATTAAGCTACGTTTTCAATTCTTTATTCATCTAAGGCTTATTGGTTGTATACAGTTTTAGACATCTTAAAGGCACCAACATGTCAAGGCAAAAATTAATATATGAATTATAGTTGTGATTAATAGTGTGTGTAAAATGTTATTATGAATTGTAGAAAAAGAAATTTTAGAGTAAGTAAATAATATTACTGAAATTATGTGCCTAATCTAATTATCAAACTTGATACAGCCTTCCTGCTCTCCTATTACCTAAGTTTTAATGGAAATTGTAATCCATCTACATATACTGATACCCATACCCATTTTTGTGTATGAAAGCATGATTATGAACTGGCGAAAACTGGAAACTTAACCCATTGCCGACGGGCGTGCCATGCCATGCCCACTGTGAGATTACTTGTTTGATTGTTTTCACACATAAATGGCTACACTTGTACTAAATCACCAATGAGCCAGTTACAAGTACTGCCTGTCTCGCCCGTTTACCCTTTTCTTTGATTTACAAAATATTTTATGTTACCTTATTTTACTGTTACTAATGTTAACCCATTCGCTCCGGGTGCCACGTATACGTGACATGCCCACTGTGAGTTTACTTGTTTGATTGTTTTAACACATAGATGGCTACACTTGTACTTATTGTTTTAACACATAAATGGCTACACTTGTACTAAATCACCAATGAGCCAGTTACAAGTACTGCCTGTCTCGCCCGTTTACCCTTTTCTTTGATTTACGAAATATTTTATGTTACCTTATTTTACTGTTACTAATGTTAACCCATTCGCTCCGGGTGCCACGTATACGTGACATGCCCACTGTGAGATTACTTGTTTGATTGTTTTAACACATAGATGGCTACACTTGTACTAAATCACCAATGAGCCAGTTACAAGTACTGCCTGTCTCGCCCGTTTACCCTTTTCTTTAATTTACGAAATATTTTATGTTATCTTATTTTACTGTTACTAATGTTAACCCATTCGCTCCGGGTGCCACGTATACGTGACATGCCCACTGTGAGATTACTTGTTTGATTGTTTTTACACATAGATGGCTACACTCATACTAAATCACCAATGAGCCAGTTACAAGTACTGCCTGTCTCGCACATTTACCCTTTTCTTTGATTTACGAATACTGCCAGTCTCACCCGTTTACCCTTTTCTTTAATTTACGAAATATTTTATCTTATCTTATTTTGTTTAACCTATTGTCGCTGGGGAAAATGAGTAAAAAATGGGGAAAATGCTATACTCATTTTTTATTGTTTTTACACATAGATGGCTACACTTATACTAAGTCACCAATGAGCCAATTATGAGTACTGCCTGTCTCGCCCGTTTACCCTTTTCTTTGATTTGCGAAAACATTGTACGTTATTTTATTTTGCTGTTACTAATGTTTATAACATTATAGTAATTGTAATGTTTATAATAGAAATAACACCATCGATATTCATAGCACCAATTCAAATCACGTAAGGTCACAAGTTCTACTAATTGACTCCTTGTGTGACTTAGCATTAGCAGAGCCATCTATGTGAAGAGACATTTCACAAAAATATATATAAAATGAGCACAGCATTTCCCCATTTTTTATTAATTTTCTCTGGCGGCATTGGGTTAAGAGAATACTGATAACGAAAGGAAGTAGAAATTTATAAAAAATTTATGTGTAGATCTCCAAAAATCAAAGAAAAGGGTAAACAAATATACATAGGACTAAGAATTGATTTTTGGTGATTAAGCACTTGTAGAGCTATGTATAGAGACAATTAATAAATTGATATTAAGTGGGCATGGCATGTATCTTGCCATCCAGGCTAATTGAGTTTTTTATGGTAGATTTAACATGAACGCAGAAAAAAAGGGCAGGCTACTTTTAATCAACTATCCTTGTGGGATGAGGTATTTTTGAAAAATATGAAATACCAACACTAGTAATCTCATATTCATCGACAAGGAAGAAGTTAGGTGCATGCACTGTTTCTGTGTTGTTATTTGTTTCATAGAATAAGCTTGCAGAAGAGGAGTGCTCACTGGAATGTTGACTGTGTTAAAAGGGTAAACTCAGTTTCAGCAGCAAGGGCATATATATGTAGATCATTCATACATGTTACTATGTATTACTTCATCATGGAGACATGAATATATTTCTACATGGGACTTCTATGAACTTTGTTGCATATAAAGTAATTGAATATAATTAGCCTCAAGTGATTTCCAGTTGTCACATTCACATAGTTTCTAAAGCACACCATTTTTTTTCACTTTATTTCCAGGATTTCTTAAACAGATGTTTGGAGGTGGACATGGAGAAGAGAGCATCATCTGAAGAGCTTCTAAATCACAAATTCCTCAGTAAAAGGATCAGCACAACCACTCTGAAGCCTCTTATTGAAGCTGCCCATAATATTCTCAAGAAAAAGATTCCCTAAGAAAATAGAAGTCTTTGATATCCTGTCTCATGAGAATGAAAACAAAATTATGGAGTTTTAATTTCTAGCAATAGCAATAATCTTTTGTTTCACATTCAGTGACTGAATTTCCCTTTCTCATTTATGATTTTGATTCCCTTGACTTCAGGATTATTTATATGAAACTGCACCAAGTAACTGATCCTGAAGAAAAGTTGTTTAAAGAGGCAATAAATGTCTTAAAGCAATAAAAGCACTAAAAGTTATTTATATTTTTCTTTGTCGGGAATGAAGGTTAATCCAGGTATTAATATATAAATAATACTAGTGACTTCTCTTCAGATTGTATCTAACCTCAAATCAATGGGCATGCCATGTACATACATGCCATGCCCACTCTGAGTTTACATCGTTTTTACACTTGTACTAAATCACTAATGACCAGTACTACTTGTCTCACCTGATTACCCTTTTCCTTGATTTTTGAAAATATTTTGTTTTCTTCTATTGCCACTACTAAAAGCAATAACATAGTAATTATAATGTCTATAATAAAAATAACACCTTCATAATTGATAGTAATAGTGAAAAAAAAAATGTTTTTCATGCAAATTCAAGGAAGGGTTAAATTAGGTAAGGTCACAAGGTCTACTAATTGACTCGTTTGTGGCTAAGTATTAGCAGAGTCCTCTAAAATGAATATAGCATTTTCCTGGTGATGTTGGTTTAACCCAATGCCGACGGGCATGACGTGTACGTATGTGCTTTGCCCACTGTGAGTTACTTAAATTAGGTAAGGTCACAAGGTCTACTAATTGACTCCATTGTGGCTAAGCGCTAGCAGAGCCATCTATGTGCAGAGACATTTCACAAATAATATATAAAATGAGCACAGCATTTTCTCCATTTTTTATTCATTTTCCCTGGCAACATTGGGTTAATAAGACTTGGAAACAAGTAAAACAGTAAAAAAAGTAATATTTTAAACATTAATTATTTTTACTGTGAGCCAGTTATTTTTCTTAGCTCAGTGCATGGGGAAATGCTGTGCTAATTTTATTTTTTTTTTGTGAAATATGTCTGCACTTAGATGGCTCTTCTAGTGCTAAGCCACAAAGGAATCAAACTGTGACCTTAACTGATTTCACCTTTCCTTGAATTGACAGATTTTTTTTTTTTTTTCCCCTTTTTTACTAGTGCTATCAATATTGGTGTAATTTTTATTATAGATATAATTAATGTTATTGATATTAGCAAAACATTGTTGAAAAGCAACAAAAAGGATAAACAGTAGTAAACAATGAGCTGTCATAATTATCTCATTGGTGGCTTAGTACAAGTGTAGCCATCTACGTGTAAAAACAATTAATAGAGTAAACTCAAAGTGGGCATGGCATGGACTTGCATGCCATGCCTGTCAGTATTGGTTAAGGAACCTGCCGCAATGTCCAGGTACAATTTTCAGGCCATTTAGTGTTATATCATCCAAAGTCATTTAAAAGTTATTTTAGGAATACTTGAAGAACTTGTAATTTTGATTACCTGATAATATTTATCAGGTAATCAAATTTAACAAAGCTTGTAAACACAGTGTTTACTGTTGTCATTTATCAAAGGTAAAGTTTTGTATTTAAGATTTTTTTTTTTTTTTTTTTTTCTTTTTTTTTTTCTTTTTTTTTTTTATTAATTAATTAATTCAAAGAATAGAAATCAATCTTATGTACTTCATACTAGTCCCCTTGTCCTCCAGGTACATGATTGATGTTAGTAATAACTAGTTATATGAAGTGGTGCTCATTGTACTATAAGGTCTAGTTTTAGGTGTATTTTCAGTAATGTCGATAGTAATGAAGTTACTTTAGAAATAAGATTGTGCTATCACATATCATGACAGTAAATACAAAAAAGTCTTGTGGTTTAATCATTTCTGTTTTTCATCTTCTCCTATTCCCTCTCCCCCTCCTCTTCCCCCTCCCCTCTCTCAATGGATGGAGCTTTGAGAGTTCAATTTGTTAATTGTGTGTTTGACATGAATGTTGATTCTCATATATTTCATACATTCCTTGCGAACTCGTTGTTTACATGTACACTATTTTTTTATGGTAATTTGCCAGTAAGCAAAGGAGAGCAGTTTGTAATAATAATAACTTAGATTAGATTGTGGATAAGTTAAAAGACTTCTTTTATGCCAAAAAAATACATTTATCTAATTTGTCATGTAGATGTTATTTATGGTCCCGTTTAACTTTCCACAGTGTATTACTTGGGATTTACAATTGTTGTACATGTCCTGGTCATCATTATTGTCATTATTGTTACAGTTGAGGAAAATGTAAAATGTTTCTGGCAAAGGTATTTCACGACCATTAGTTTCTAGCTGGCAGGTTGGACTTATTGTTTTTATTAAATGGCTTTTTTATTGACATCATTTGATAGGCCTGGCATTGCTAGTTATTGCATGCTGGAATGGGCTGATTATTAGCAGAATTTATTTGCCCATACACCCCATTTTTCACCTATGATTATTGTTTATTGAATTTTATTTATGAAAATTGCCAAAAAATATAGCTAACATTCAGGTTTAACTTCATAAGAAAATTATACCCAGAGTTGATTTACTTAGGTTTAAATATATCATAAATTTTGTCCCTTATACAGGTACTTAGAATACCAGGAAGTATTGTCAAACTAAATAGTAAAGATGTCATAATAAAGAATTTGAATTTATCTGCTTTATTGATGATTTACCAACTTATTTTTTATTTTTCATAAGTCTGGTTGAGAATATATCAAAATTATGGGAAAAACACTATGAATTAGGCTCGAATTATGTGATATCCACATACATACATAGATAAGTAGATAGACAGATAGATCAATAAATCAAGATATCGATAAACAAATAAATATATATTCTCTTTATACATATAAAAAATAAATACATATACATATGGAAATTAAAACATATATTATAATGTCATGAAAAGTACTTCATATAATGACTATATATATATACATGAAAGTGTACACATACATATGCATGTACTTGTGTGTTTACATATAGACCCTCCCCAATCTCTTGCCTGATGTTTGTTGCAGGGGGGGTGGGGGGGACTTACAAGGTGGAGACTGGGACTCGATGCTGGGGAACTCCCCTGCCTTGGGACTCGGCCCTCCTACTTTTTCATTTCCATCCTTTCCCCAACCCCTTCTACTATCCTTTTCCTGAGGTGAGCGAGCCATGCTGAAAGGATGAAAGGATGACTTTGTGCCAGTCCTGAATGGCCTGAGGGAGCCATGGGCACAGTATTCCCCTGCTTTAGTTGCTTAGCCCTCAAGGGGTGGACTGTTTCTTTCCTCAACATACTCTAGGCTTAGCATGGCCAATAATGAAGATGTTATACCATTATTAGGGGCAATGAAGCTTACCCCTTCATCAAATAGCCCCACCAATACAAATTCTCCTGATTGCCTGACCTCAGGCTCTCCTCTGAAAATGGCTCCAAACACTACAACTACTACCCCCTCCTCAATGCCTACTAGTACATTATCCACCCAAATCAACACTCATTTCTAATCTCCCAACATGCTCAACTTCATCAGCTCTACCCCCACAATCTTCTTCATCAACTACCCCATCCTCCCTTATTACTACTTTACAGCCTTATTGTCCACCTCTCCATAATACTACCTTCCTCAATGCTACTTCCACATGCCCCCGTGCTTCCACTACCCTCATCTCTACAAATATCTTATATACTCTATTCAGCCCTGCCAAATGGGACAGATTTTTTGTGATCCCTCCCACAGCTCCCTACTCTGACAATACTCTTCTCCTCCAGCAAGTCTCTTTCTGTAGCCAACCCTGATCATTCTCGTCTTGTCAGAGTAATATCTGAAAACCAAAGTAGCAGTATTAAATCTAACTGATCTCTTACCTTCCCTTGAATGTTTACATTGGTGGAGAATCCCTCCCTGTCCGACCATATCAACCTCCTCCCCGTCAGTGCCAAAATTGTTGGCTTTTAAGATATCCTGCCAAACATTGCCGTTCCACAACCAGATGTGTCCAACCTGGTCATACTCGATCAAACTGCTCACCACAGTCACGCAAATGTGGCAACTATGCCATAATTTATTTTATAGGGGCTACCCCACCTACAAATTTGAGTCTGAGGTGGCAACTCTCAGATTCAGACTTGGACTCATTCTACATGAAGCAAGACAGGAAACACGTCAACGTGGTTTCTCTCTCACTCCCTATTCCAGTAATGTCACTCACTCTGCCCCTCTCCCTACCTCTCAAGTTTCTATACTCTCCCCTAAACCTATCTCTCTTCCATCTTACTTCCCCTCTTCTACCTCATACCTTCCCCAGTCAAATTCTTTTGCTACCCTAAATCCAGACACTCCAGTCTCTACTGCAGACCCAGCACCTTCCCCTCTCCCTCCTCGCACTCCCCGCAGCAGACCGACTAAACGTTCCACCCTTTCTTCTACCACACACTTGCCTCCATCTATCTTTGCATCTACTCTTCAGACACCAGTCTCCTTTTCTCCCCCTCATAAGAAAACACTTGTCTCACAAAATTCCCCAACCAACTCCATTACAGAAACTCCTGAAGATATTCAAAACTATCTACTCGAGTCCCAAACTGACACTGAAACCCCATCCACTTTCAAATTTCACATCCACTGTCCTCCTACTCATATTCCCCCTACACCCCTTCCTCCTACTCTCTCCCAACACAGCCCATTCCCCCAGCTCCAGCTCCACCTACATTAACCCTCCCGCCATTCCCTTTATCTCTTCCACTTCCTCCTGGATATACACGTGAATCCCTCATGTCATAACTATCCCGTTCCCCAGATCCTCCATCTCCTTATAACCTTCCTGATACAATATCACCTCCCCCCTCTCATTCCTTATATCACCCCCTAGCTCCTTCTCCTTCAAATTCTCCAACACGCATTGTAACCGTTATCACTCATAAAGCAACTAAAGTATAACTATCCTTCAGTGGAATATTCGTGGTTTCCGTTCTCACTGACCCGACCTTTGTCATATCCTTTCTTCTTATAACCCATCCATTACATGCCTTCAAGAGACTTTTCTTACACGTCCTTTACCAATTCCCAAATGCCATTTTGTCTCGTCTATACTTATCAATAATATCAATCATATGTCATACATCCCTTTCAAACCACTGTCCCTTGTACAGTTATTCGCATCTTTCTTCACCGCTGGATAACAGTAATTTCAGTATACTTAACCCCCCCCCCCCACTTTGTTGCCTTTGAAAATCTATTTTCCCAGCTCTAACCACCTTTCCTCCTAGTTGGTGATTTTAGCTGCCGCCATACTCTTTGGGGTGATTCTATCACCAACTCCCGTGGCTGATCTCTAGAGCACTTCCTTTCCACAACTGACCTTATTATTTTTAATTCAGATCGCCCCACACACTTTGATATACGCACGCAATCTTTTTCATGCATTGATTCCTCTCTACAACTCCTAATCAACTATCAGCCCTTATCTCCTTTAAAAGATCATCTGCCTGTCTTCGTCGTACAATCCGGAACAGTAAAACAAATAGCTGGCGAAATTATGTTTCCTCAATTACATCATCTACATCTATTTCAACTGTTTGGCGTTGGATCCATAGCCTATTAGGCAAATATCCCCCCCCCAATCCAGTCCCCGTATTAGCCATGTTCTTTGACCTAGAAAAAGCATATGATACTACATGGCGGTACCATATTCTCCATCAATTGTCATCTTTAGGGATACGCGGAAACATGGGTGTCTTTATAAAGTCTTTCTTCTCCAAACACACTTTCCCGGTCAAAATTGCCTCTTCCACATCATCCTTCTTTCCTCAGTTCGAAGGGGTCCCACAAGGCAGTGTGCTCAGTACCACTTTAATCTTCTAGCTGTTAGTGGCATTGCCCTGTCATCACTAAATGTTGATGATTTAACCATCTATGTCTTTGGCACATCCATACCAAATCTCCGCCAATTTCTTCAGCAATATCATCAGTATCTTCCTGGACCACTAACCGTGGCTTCCGCTTCTTACCTCCAAATCTTTCTTTATCCTTTTCTCTCGCGCACTTGTAGATCTCCAACCTTCACTCTTCTTATATGACACTCCACTCCTATACCGTCCCTCTGGCAAATTCCTAGGCATTATTTTGCCTCCAAACTGTCCTGCGAGACCATATCCTTTGTATTAAAACCAATGTGGTCTTCACTTACCCCTAGGTGCCTTCCGCTTCTCTCCAGTTGAGGGACTGTACACTCAGTCCAGGAGCCAGGGGTCATTTATCTGCATGAAGTGAGAGTCTTTCATTGGTATTTCTGAAAGGGGTATCCAAAACAGAAATACTGCTGATAGACTCCTTGCTGGCTGAGCACATGTGGAGCCATCTGTACAGGGGACAAAACGCAAATTTGGGGTGGTTGGGTTGCATATCTTTTATATAAAGAAATTGCTCCAATATCTGGTAGAGCATCCGTTTGCCTTAATCACTGCATCTATTCTCCATTCTATACTTTCATACAACTTGGTTGTATGAGAGTATGGGTGGGTGTTTCATGCTCAAGGTGATGTGAATCGATGATAGTGTCATAGCCTAGATAGTAATAAGTGTTTTTATGCCTTCCTCCTTGCAGCTGCCACCGCTGGCTAGTCTAGTACAAAAAAGCTTTGCATAAGCCTCCCCTGGCAGTTCACTGCCATCCATGGCCACCCATGGAAACTGGGCACCTTGCGGTCCCAGGCTAAACTATGGTGGATCTCAGAAGAGCAGGAGCCTCCGGAGGTATGGAGTTATGGCTCGCCAGTGTGTGGACACGCCCAGGGTCCATACCAACTTCTGCCCTTCAGCCCTGCTGGGGTTAATGGAGGGCTCAGGTGAGGTGGGCTTTGCCAGTCCTCTTCACCTCAAGAAAGTCACTGGCAGCGTCATGAATAAATAGATATGCTAGGGGGAGTATTCTGTCCCTTCCACCCATCAAGTGAGGTGGGCTGTGGGTCCCGTCTAAAGGACAAATGTTGGGGCACAAAATGGGAGCGAGAATTAGTTGTCCCGTCTGAGCCTTGGTAGGTGCCAACCCCGTATGAGGCCTGTGGGGCTTCTAGTTATGATTAAGCTGGCTATGAGATGTCTGTTGGTCCCCATGGTTCAGAAGCTGATCCCAGCAGCGAGAACAGCCTCCTTCTCTGGGACTTTGTCAGCTCTCACTGGAGGATCCCTCAGAATTGCAGGGCAGTGGCTACCCTATAGGTCCACTTCAAAACTCCTTGTTCCTCCAATGGGCACTCAAGGATGTTTCGCCTGGACAGATTGAGGGGGAAGGAGTGTGCCCAAAAGTTCGCCACTGCAGTCTGCAATTGATTCACATAACTTGAAAACCTGATGGACCCAGTTGCTCTGTGGGAGTCCTTCAAGCGCAAAACACTCGAAGCAGCGCAGTCAAGCGAACACTTGAGGGCAAGGCAGAATTTCACTTCTCTGGATACATTTGGAGGCCACAGAAGCATATTGTATGGCTCGGCTGAATGGCAATCAAGACTTGCGCCGTTCCCTGGTGCGTTGGGATCAGACACTGTTGAGATGGGACAAGGAACAGTTCATCAGGAATCTTGCTCAGGAGGTTGAAAGTCATTTCTTGCTAAATGACCTTCGACCTGCCTACCAAGCGCTGAGAAGAGTGAACTCCAAGATCTCCTCACAGATGACTACAGTCTGTTCAGAGAGCTCATGAATGTTGGATATTATTTTGAGCAGTTGTATCAGGTAGATCCTGGTTCCTTTCCCCCTGTTGAGGGGCATGGTCATCCATCTCTGGAAAGGGAAAGGGGATCGTTGGAACTGTAGCAACCGTCATGGCATCACACTGCTCAGTTTACCAGGCAAGGTTCTCCCACAATTTTCTGAAATGGATCTACGACCACCTGCTAAGGCACCAGAGACCAAAGCAGTCTGAATCCACAATAGAACGTCGTCATGGGTTGCTTGCAGCATACATAAACCTCAAGAAGGCGTTTGACTCGGTGCTTCGATAATCGTTATGGGAGATCCTGAGACTTAAGGGAATTCTGACCCGGATTATTGGCCTAATAGTAAGCCTACATACCGGTACTTGAAAGTGTTATCTGTGTGACCTGTCGAACTTCTTCCCTGTTAATTCAGGGTTACACCAACACTTTTCAACACCTGCATTGACTGGATAAGAGGCAGAGCTACTATCCAAAGTCAGTGTGGAGGAACACTGGGCATTTTATAATGTAATAATGTTAATAACAATACTGATAATAATGTAATGGTGATAATTTGGATATTATAGTGTATTACTGGAATGTTGATATAATGACAAAGAAGGTTCGCGTTGAAGAGCACTAGACACTAGTAATGGTATTCATTATGAAAAAAGTAATAATAATAGTTCTGACACAATCATAATGGTAACAACATCATTGTCACTGACATACATGACAACAATAATAATAAAATAATTGATCTTGATAATGATGCTGCAGTTGATAATGTTTTTATTAATAGTCGTAATGATAACGACGGTGCTCATAAGGAAAATCATAAAATTTGTAAAGATACTGTTCAGTTCAGTTGGCCATAGTCCGGGTAGGACCGTAGGCATCTCGATTGGTGGCTGCCCTGCGTGCAGCAGTTATTTATTTCCTCCATTCCCTGATGTCAGTCCATTCTGCTTTCCTTCGTCCTCGTCTCCATTTCACTCCTACTTCGCCTTCTATCGTCACTGGTCTTTTCTTCCTGAGACCATACTTTTGATCCTTGCGCCTTTTAACTGTCTGGAGCTTGTTTTCTCACCCATTTGATCGTCTTCCGATCACACAGCTGACTCGTAGGACTCGCCTCCAGTGCCACATCTCAAACACTTCAATGTGCTTTTCTTCCTTCTTCCGCAGAGTCCACCTTTCACAACCGTAGATAAACACACTCCTCACCAAGGCTTTCGCTAACTTCACTTTCAGGTTCAAACTTAGTTCGGCATTCTTTTCAGATCAGATGTCACCTTCTTTGCATTCCCTACCCGGGCTTTGATTTCAACAATTATAATAATGATTGATTATATATAATGATTATATATAATGATTGCACCAATAATAATAATAATAATAATAATAATAATATTGATAATTGCAACAATTAGAATAATTTATAGTAATTGCAACAGTTATAGTAATGATAGAAAAAAAATAATAATAAATAGCAAACATCAACAACGACAGCAACAATAAGATTAATCTTTTCAATGAAAGTATAGATGCAGGAAAATAATTAAGCAATACGGAAGAAAAGGAGAAATACACACGTGAAAATGAAAAATAAGCTAACGGAAAAAAAATGGAAAGGAAGGAAAGAGGGAAAAGGCAAAATGGAAAAAGACAAAAAGAAGGAGAAACCGAGTGAAGAGGGGAGGAAGAAGGAATGTACAGATAAGCTGATAAACAGAGTTGCATACGCAGTAGTGAGTAGACATTAGATAAGCAGAAATTATTGTAGTAGCTATACTTATGGTGTTAATTATGATAATAGTAATAATAATGATGCTGATACGATAATGATGATGATGATGATAACAATAACAATAATGATATTGATAAAAGTAACAGCAACAACATTGTGACAATGTTAAAGGTGTCGTTGATAATAAAAACATGAACTACAGTGATAATGATAACTGCTAATAACACTGACGCTAAAATATATTCAAGATTAGATTAAAATGATAACGTAAAAATACTGATGGTAATAATGATAATGATATTAATTGCAGAGTTTTCATCATTTCAAAGTCTGTAAGGTTTTGTGATCACTGATGATGACGAATGATTATGGAATTAATTGCAATGGTGATACAGATAATGACGATAACAATAATAGTCTTAAAACAAGCATTGATCATATTGATAATGATTTCAATAAGTAGATCATTAATGATCGTGATAGAACGATGCTTATAGTGAAAATAATGAAATGCTACTAATGGCAACAATCAAGATAGTTATTATGAAAATTATGATATTAGTAACGATAATTTTAATACTGAAAATAACAATAGCGAAATTGTCATAATAATAATGACAATAACGAAATAGCAACAATAATGATAATGATAATAACAATATAACAATAATGATGATAATAACATTGGTGATAACCATTACAAAAAACAACAATAATAGTAGCAATAAGAAAAAACAAGAACAACAATAATGACAATAATGATTATGATGATAATAATGATAATATCGCAGGTCTCTTTCTCTATCTCTCTTTCGTTTTCTCCTTCCCCTCTCCCTCCCCCTTCGCTTTCTCCTTTTTTCTTTCTCTATTCTCTTAATTTATCTATATCTCGTAAACGTAAATCGTTGCAATCAATTGGAAGTCACCTGCTTTCATTTTCACTAGTTATACATACATACGAGGCAGCCATGCTGACACTTTTTTGAAATTGGACGAAAGGCAATCTGAAATTGCAAATAGGGACCGCATCATTAGGATGAATGTAAGTAATTTATCTCCCACTGAGAGCCGGGTTTCTCCCGTTCGATGGTATACAGATGAATAAGGTGGGAGGAGGAAGACACTGTGAACGACCGGTATGTATACCTAGTGAAAATGAAAGCAGGTAACTTGATCGTGCAACGATATAAGTACCCCGGCAGGAAATATGGAACTGTCTGCGGCTGAAAGGGGTGGGAGAAAAGCACATTCGTCTCATCCAAGATATGTACGAAGGGTGTCAGACCCAAGTCAGATGTGCGGCAGGAGAGACGGAGGTCTTTGAGGTTGCGGTTGGACTGCATCAGGGCTCTGCACTCAGCCCTTTCCTGTACGCGATCATAATCGACTGTCTAACCCAAGAAGTGCAGAGGGAAGCGCCATGGGATATGCTGTTTGCGGACGATGTCGTGGTGTGCGGGAACAGGAGGGATGAAATTGAAGAGAGACTGGAACTGTGGCGGGGTGCAATGGAGGACAGAGGTATGAAAGTGAGTAGGCAAAAGACAGAATATCTGAAGCTGAAAGCTAAAGGGGAAGGCGGTGACAACGAAGGGGACACTGAAGTGAAGCTACAAGGAGAGGCAGTAGCACAGGTGAGGGAGTTCAAGTATCTGGGTTCTATAGTGGAAGAAGATGGTGGTTCAGACAAGGAGGTAACCAAAAGGATCCAGGCAGGGTGGGGAGCTTGGAAGAAGATCACAGGTGTCATGTGTGACAAGAACGTGCCAGAGAAAGTAAAAGGTAGACTGTATAAGACGTTGGTGAGGCCGGCAATGATATACGGAATGGAAACAGTGGCGGTGACGAAGGTCCAAGAAGAGAGGATGCAGGTAGCAGAGATGAAAATGTTGAGGTGGTCGTTGGGGTTGACAATAATGGACAAGGTGAGAAATGAGACGATTAGGGAGCGAGTGCAAGTGGGCGAGCTGAAGAAGAAGCTGAGCGAGACAAGATTGAGGTGGCTGGGACATGTGACAAGGAGAGAGGAGAGCTATGTTGGGAAACGAGTGAGACGGTTAACAGTCGGTAACAGAAGGAGGGGAAGGCCAAAAACAAGATGGAAGGACTGTGTAAAAAGGGATATGGAGGCGGTGGGACTGAGGGAGGAGGATGCCATGGACAGAGCGAGGTGGAGGAGAACTATCCGCACCGGCGACCCCACTTAAGTGGGATTTAAGCCCGTAGAAAAAGATCAGAGTCCCCTTCCCCCTTAAGTGATGCCCCTGCTCTCTCTTTCTGTATAAATGAAATACAAAAATACCAAAATGAAAAAAAAAAGAAAAAAAGTGCAGAAGGCACCAAAGTAAAAATTTTAAACGACAAAGGCTTGAAGGAAAAAGTAAAAGCTCGTGAAAATAGACAGAAAAGCAAAGGTTGAAATAAAAACCCAAGTAAAAGACGAGTAAAAGGGTAAAGCATGGATAAAAGAAACAAATAAGAGTGCAAGACAAAAGTGGGAGTGGTTCACAGTAAAACAATGTAAAAGATGAAGATGATACGTCGAACATAAGTAAACATGGTAAAAAAATGGTAAAATCAGTAACTTGCCGGATTGGAAGTCTCAGAATCTCCCATAGTGATTCTCGATGTACCGAGTCAATGCCTTCTTGTTTACCAGGAGTGAATCCAGACTGCTCCAGCCTCTGGTGCTTT